GGGGTGTGGTTCAGTGCCAATCACGCACAAATCGCTTTTAGAGAGAGTTGTCTGTTCACCGCCACCGTCCATTCTGATGCTCCCTCCCCACCCCTGCATTCATGGCTCACTCCCCAATCCCTCGCCCCCTTGATTTAGTCTCTCTTCAAGGGATTTTATTTTGTGACTCCCTTTTGTGTGTTACTCTCCAGGGTGTTAGTGGCTGTGACTGGCGTGCGTGAGCGTCGGGGGCCGGGGGGCTCTCTGGGCAACTGTCTGGAGCCCGAGTGAAGCAGAGGTCAAATGTGGGCTGCTCACGCCAAGTTCAGCCTTTTTGAAACAGTGGCCACATCGATGGGAACACAGAAACCCTTGTGAGGGTGCATCGGGCCAGACAATGTTCCCTCTGTTGTACCTCAGGTGCTCTGGGCCGGACCTAACAACAACAACAACAACAACAAAGTACTATCTATGTATCTATTTTTCTTTTAATGGGAACAGGAACCTTTCTTTATTCTCTGTGTGTTGCTACCTCTCTCTCTCTTTTCTGTGTGTATTTCCTCACCCCTCCTCTTGGCCTCCCTGGTCTGCTTTGGGTGTGAAAACCATCTCTCTTGGTTTTTCCTTTGAGAAGATCAGTCTTGGGAGCCCCGTGGAGCAGGCCCACTCTATTTGTCAGGTGCATGAGTCCATGTAGGGTGCCTGGGGCTTTGTTTTGTTTTGCTGGACTTGACAAGCGGCCTGACGGTGGGGTTTCCCGTGCACATATCTATCAGCAGAGTGACCACTTACTCTCCTTTCCAATGCTCACCTCTCCCATAGCGTTTTCTTGTCTAGTTGTGTGGGCTGGTATCACCAAGGGGGTTAGAAGCCGCCAGCATCTGCTTTGCTCCTGCGCAGTGCTGGGCCCCGAGTGTTGGGGCCAGACCGACGCCCTGATGTTACCCCCTCTCCTCCACAGGAGATCGTCAATTTCAACTGCCGCAAGCTGGTGGCCTCCATGCCGCTGTTCGCCAACGCAGACCCCAACTTTGTGACGGCCATGCTGACCAAGCTCAAGTTCGAGGTCTTCCAGCCAGGGGACTATATCATCCGAGAGGGCACCATCGGCAAGAAGATGTACTTCATCCAGCACGGGGTGGTCAGCGTACTGACCAAGGGCAATAAGGAGATGAAACTCTCCGACGGCTCCTACTTTGGGGGTGAGTGTGCGCACGCGCAGCAGGCTGGACAGAGCTGAGGGAGGGAGGGATAGGGGCAGGGCCGGCACCTGCGCAGACGGCGGGGCGGCATGGGCTGAGGACACCTCCCTTGGCCGCAGAGATTTGTCTGCTGACGCGGGGCCGGCGCACAGCCAGCGTGCGCGCTGACACCTACTGCCGCCTCTACTCGCTGAGCGTGGACAACTTCAACGAGGTGCTGGAGGAGTACCCCATGATGCGGCGCGCCTTCGAGACTGTCGCCATCGACCGCCTGGACCGTATCGGTGAGTGTGTGTGTGGTGGGGGGCCCACGATTCTTGGGGCCTCCCACTACCCTAGTCCTGGGGGCTTCAGCTGTGCAAACTTGGGACTCCCTGGCTACTTGTTGGCTGGGCGTATATAGGGGTCGGGGACCAGACGGCAGCCTGAGGCAGGTTCTGTCTGGCAGATGGATTGGGCGTTGCAATGTACAAAGGGAGCAAGCGGCCCGTTCCAGGAGGGGCCAGGAGCAGCTGAGGACCCCTGCCTTCAGGAAGACAGGAAAACCTGGGGGGTGGCCTGAGGGCCCAGATACCTTGGAGGGCTCAGGGCAGGGGCCAGGCCTCACCAGAGGTGCGGCCAAGACTTGGAGAGCACTCAGCACCAGGGCCGGCCTACGATGGCCTGGAAGGGTCCTTGCTGTGTGGACACTGGCCATGGGATTGGCACGTGCTCCACACCGAGGTGGGCGTCCAGACCTGCCCTGTGTGCAGCGGGTGCTTAGCATGCTTGCTCTGGGGGATGCTGGGCTCTGGGTGTTGGCCACACAGGCGCTCAGTACTGCCTGGCTGTGTGCAGAGGGTGTGGGCTGGGATGCAGCAGGGGCCCCAGGGGCCTTCTGCAGTGGTGACAACACCTTGGTGTTTGCATGAGTGCCCAACATCGGTGTGCCGCCTACAGCAGAGGCCCAGTATCTGCTTAAGTGTATATACCGCATATGCTCAACAGCTGCTTGCTGCCTGTGGACTGCTTGAGGTGTGCTCTGGGGTGCGCAGTGGGCATCAGTGCAGGCTGGGTGCATGTGGAAATGGCCAGGCCTGCTTTCTGTACACAGGGGGCACCGACACTTGCTTGCTGTATGCACCGGGCCTCAGTGTGTGCTCTGGGGTTTCACCGCAGAGCGGAGATGCAGGTATCTCAAGCTGCTTGCTGGGAGGCGGGGGCACACCCGCTTGCAGGGCCCCAGTAGGCACCTGTCACTTGCTGTGTGCTGCTGCCCGCCGCCCCAGCTCACCACCGGCTCCGCCCGCCCGCCTGTCTGCAGGTAAGAAGAACTCCATCCTGCTGCACAAGGTTCAGCATGACCTTAACTCCGGCGTGTTCAACAACCAGGAGAACGCCATCATCCAAGAGATTGTCAAGTACGACCGCGAGATGGTGCAGCAGGCCGAGCGCGGCCGCGTGCTCTTTCCGCCACCGCCACCACCACAGGTCACCTCGGCCATCGCCACTTTGCAGCAGGCCGTCGCCATGAGCTTCTGCCCACAGGCGGCGCGCCCGCTGGTGGGGCCGCTGGCGCTCGGCTCACCGCGCCTCGTGCGCCGCGCTCCCCCTGTGCAAACGCCCCAGGCGCCTGGGGCGGCACTGCCCGCTGCC